TCAAAAAAAAAATTTTTTTTAACCTGGACATGAGTAGCCAAATCCCTGCTTTTTTCTGGCTTTTGATGCCAAGAGTGAAGGGCTCAGGGTCAAGTGTTTAAGGTCAGGTGTTTGCTCTTTCTTTTTTCCACATTAGGTCATTGTTTTTCCTGGGTAGGACACTGGTGAGTTGCACATGGGTTTTATTTCCTCGATGCTGCTCCATATTCACCTATTTCTGACACTGGCAATAATTTCAGTGCCAATCACCAGCTTTCTATATTTGTCGGCAGCTGCTTCAGTGATGTGGAAACAATTTTCTCAACAGCTGAAAAACATGAAGATGGAGAGTAGGACATTTTGTTCTTTATGAAAGAGCTTAGCTGGAGTGAGCGTGAAAGGAGGGAGCAATCCAGCACCAATCTTTTGTCTCTGCATCTTTTCCACTCTCTCCAGCACAATGTCAGGCTTGAGTGATGACCATGGTTTTGTCCAGACAGGAGTGGGTAGTCTCTGTGAAATACACCAGAATACTTCAGGTCAGGATTCTGATGTGGGCTGGTATTCCCTTATCTAGGAGGTGCTCTTTGTTGATTTGCTCGATTTGTATCATAAGTTTTGTCAGAAAGGAGGCTTAACCCTAGCCTGTACTTCCAGCCCAACCTTTACCAGCTGGTTGGCTTTAAGCAGTCAGTGAATATTTTTCTATAAAACATGTAGAGTGACTGTTCCCCGTGAGGCACTTGCAGGGCACGGAGGATCTGAGTGGCACAGACACCACCTGCGAAGTCAGGGGCTTCCAGTCTGCAAGGCACTCTGACTAGAACGATTGTGGAGACTAAATGGTACCATGTTTACAAAGCCTTCACATGGTACCTGATTCTAGAAAGCCCTCAGTGCAGAATGATCATAGTGGCGAGGCAGAAAAATAGGATCTAGAGACTGGGAGCCTAAGGGGAACCCGCGGCTGACTTCGTAGAATTAAACCAAAGGAAAACTTCGGCCTCTAATCAGTCATGGGCCAATCCTTCACTTCAGCCTCTGATTGGTTGCAGGTCAAGGTTCGACTTCAGCTTCTGATTGGCCATGGGCCAGTCCTTCATTTGTTTCTGGTGTAACTCCACTTCAGCCTCTGATTGGCTGCAGGCCAAGCCCTCAAGACTTTCTATCCCCTAACAGTGATCCTTATTATGTTCAAGTTGTGTTTTCGCTTCTTTCATAGCTGTGGGATGTCTGGGCACTGAGGTGCTTGTAAAAAGCCCAAGATCTAACTCTGCCCCTAACCAAGGAAAAAGGGAGCCTATTGAGTGGCTCATGTGTACCAAGTGTTGTATTATGCAAAACATTTTACAGTGCATGACTTCTTTTCTCCCATATAGCAGCCTAGGCAATGGGTGCTGTCAGCATTTTACAGATGAAGAAACGAGGGTTCAGAGAGAGTAACTTGACCATCTTCCTGGCACCAAAGCCCCTGCTGCTCCTACCTTCCCCACACCATTCACCTCCCTGGACCTCACTACTGGTGCAGCAGGGAGACTGCAAACAACTCTGTCAACCTCCCTGAGGCCATCCATTGTCATTTGTAGAATTGAAAAGCCATCTCTCAAAGTTGGTTTTTTCCCTTATAAATTCTATTAAACAGCATCTTCCTTATTATTTAAATATTTGCTGCCACCTAGTGGCAATTATGTAATTAGAAGAATAAAGAAAAATTTGAATTCAACTTTGATTTAAAAAAAAAAACTGTCCATTTCATCTGGGCATGGTGGCTCACGCCTGTAATCCCAGCACTTTGGGAGCCCAAGGCGGGCGGATCACGAGGTCAGGAGTTTGAGACCAGCCTGACCAACATGGTGAAACCCCGTCTCTACTAAAAATACAAAAATTAGGCGGTGTGATGGCATGTGCCTGTAATCCCAGTTATTCAGGAGGCTGAGGCAGGAGAATTGCTTGAACCCAGGAGGCAGAGGTTGCAGTGAGCTGAGATCGTGCCACTGCACTCCAGCCTGGGCAACAGAGCAAGACTCTGTCTCAAAACATACACAGGCGCACGCGCACACACACACACACACATACACACACACACCCAAAAAAACAAAACAAAACAAAACCTGCCTATTTCATCCCGGAAAAGGCAAAACTATATAGACAGTAAGAAGATTAGTGGTTTCCAGAGGGAGAGGTGAATGGGAGGGGTTTTTGGGGCAGAGACACTACTCTGTATGATGCTTCATTGCAGCATCTTTGTCCAAACTCAATGTCCAACATCAAAATCGAACCCTAATGTAAACTGTGGACTCTGGGTTATCATGATATGTCAGTGCTGGTTCATCAGTGGTGAAAACTGTTCTACTCTGGTCCCAGAGGTTGCTAATGGGAGAGGCTGTGCACAGGTAGGGACTGGGGTTGTATCAGAAATCTCTTTACCTTCTGCTCAATTTTGCTGTGAACCTACACCTGCTCTAAAAACAGTCTTTTTTTAAAAAAAAAAAAACTGTCAATTTTCTTACATCCATACTATGCTCCTAACCTTTAAAATTTATATTTTTAAACACATATCATGGCCTTCCATTTTTATTTTTATAGTAAACTACCAGACTTTTTATGAAAATTTTGGTTAGGTGTTGGAATTCACATAAGCCCCAGCTTTTCAAAAATGCTTAATCTTTTGTGACCATCTAATATACACTCATATGTGTATGACCATTTAATACACACTCATATGTATTTGTATTAGATAATAGGCTATACATTAAGAAATTCTTATTTGCAATATTCAGAATTTACATTTTTAAGTTTTATAAATATTCAAATAATTTACATTATCGTGGTTTAAAAATCCAAACAACCCAGAGGATGTGAAGTTAAAAAGTAAAGTCCTCCTCCAGAGAGGGAAGTTTCTTAAGAATTTTTAATGTTTTCCCCCAGAAATGTTCTATTCTGGGACTAGGACACACACACCCTTTTCTTTACTACTTTTTTGTGAATGAGCTTATGCTATGCTTACTGTTCTATGGCCTGCTTTTTTTACTTGATCTATTTTGAACATCTTTTCATGCCACAGCACAAATCTACCTCATTCTTTTGAACAGCACATAGTATTCCATTATCAACTAGACTATAATTCATTTAACTGACCCTTCACTGATATCCATATAGCCTATTTCCAGTTTTTGTTATTAGAGAAATGCTATAGGGACCATATGCGTGCACATACATGCTTTTGCGAATATATTTGTAGAATAAAATCTTAGACATAAAATAATTACTGGATCTCAAGGTTATGTGAACACCCACTGACCAAGAGCACCAGAAATACACCTGTCACCAAAAAAAAAAAAAAAAAAAAAAAAAAGCAGGTCAAGTTTGTTTAGCCACAGCAAGAGGGAGGCCAGAGGAACCATGAGCCCTCTCTGGGTGTGGTTTGGAGGAATCTTCACGGCATTTGGGCTTGTGCTGGGTAGTTTTAGCGAGGACTCAAAGGAGCAGAAGCAGTTCTACTTGAAGTGTTGTCAAGAAGCAGGAGCAGGTCAGTGATTAGGTCTCTTAAGTTTTTCTGGAGGTGAGAGCATTGAAGTTGGGCTACAAACGTCACCAGGAAAGCAGCAGCAGTCACGGATGTGGTCAGAAGAGGGGGTCGTTACATCACTTTGTGTACCAGGTGGCCTCGTCTCTGTGTTGGTTTAAACCTGGCCACGAAGTGGCCTTGCCAGGACACAGCTTTATTCTGTGTGTGTTCTGTGTGATCAACTGGGAACATCACGGCCAACCTGACAGCCGTGCTTGCTTTTGCTCTCTCAGGTACATTGATTCGCAATGTCTGTAGATGTTGAAGTTGCTTTCCGGAAAGGTTACACCAATTTACAGTCTTCTGAGTTCTTTTAAATACTCAACTTCCCTAAAAGAATGAAGCAGTCAATAATCAGGTTAATTATGGCCATTTTAATCCTCATCAGAGGCCTGTGACCAGGTGCTGATAACATCTCCACTTCCCTAAGAAGAAACCCAGGCTTCGAAAGGGTGTAACTTGCCTTGATCACATAGCTAGCCAACAAGGAGTTAGCTGGGGTTCAGGGCTTGGATGCCTCGTTCCCGGCCCACACTCTTTACCATGAAGAAATAATTTCTCCTTTATCATCCTCCCAGGAGCCTGCCAAGGAGAATTGAAAGCTAAGGAATTAAGAGCCATTTAATTGATGATCACAAATCTTTTTTTTTTTTTTTTTTTTTGAGACGGAGTTTCGCTCTTGTTACCCAGGCTGGAGTGCAATGGCGCGATCTCGGCTCACCGCAACCTCCGCCTCCCAGGTTCAGGCAATTCTCCTGCCCCAGCCTCCTGAGTTGCTGGGATTACAGGCACGCGCCACCATGCCCAGCTAATTTTTTGTATTTTTAGTAGAGATGGGGTTTCACCATGTTGACCAGGATGGTCTCGATCTCTTGACCTCGTGATCCACCCGCCTCGGCCTCCCACAGTGCTGGGATTACAGGCTTGAGCCACCGCGCCCGGCGATCACAAATCTTTGAAAGGCTGGTTTGGGTTGATAAGGAAGTAAAGAGTCCCATTTACAAAAGTGAGATTTACGGGCAGCCTTCCAGGAGTAATCACGTATATAGTGTTAGGCGAGGCGTCAGCATAAAGTGCTGAGTTGTTCATGGTGCCCTCAATTAATAAATGCCTATGAGCACTTTCTTAAAATCACAACCAAGACACTATAATTAAATATTCTCTGGGCCATCAATAGCTCAGATGGTACATAAAAAAAACCCAAGAAAGCAAATGGGTGAAGGACACCCATCCCCTTAGATCCATGGAGGTTCACGAAGCTTCCGTGCCACGTGAGGATGCAGCCTGTGAGACTTCACCGAGAAATATGTGCAGGGAAAGAAGCTGACCTGAGATGGTGCTGAGTAAATACTGATTGAGTGTGTGATGGGCACACAGTAGGGTTGAATTGGGCTGCCTGCTTGGATTTAGCAAAGGAAATGTGTAGTAACCACTGGTGGCTGCTCTTTTTCAGATTGTGCTGGCTGCGGAAGAGATATCAAGAATGGGCAGGCACTGCTGGCGCTGGATAAGCAGTGGCACTTGGGGTGCTTTAAATGCAAGTGCTGCGGGAAGGTCCTCACCGGGGAGTACATCAGCAAGTAAGGCTGGGCGCGGGCACGTGTTCCTTTCAGTGGGCACCGAGTGTTGTGGTTCTTCTGCAGGTCCTGGTCCCAGGGGCCCCACGCCACCAAAGGTGCTGAAATTATTCACATCCTGCTCTCAGAATGAACTTGTTGCTATAAAACTTTTGAAAAGCATTTTATTCTTCTGCTTTGGCTATAATTTGGCTACTGTAAACCTAATGAAATGTTAATCATTGCCTAATGTAACAATGAATGAAGCTGACAGTGTTACACTGTATGTTGTAACCAATTAAGCATTTAATACTTTCCCTTTTGCTATTCATTCTCCTATGAGGAACTAGTAAGCCTTTGTCTGCCTTCCAGGCCTGGAGTACATTTATAGACGCCCCCCAAAAGCACACAAAGCCTAGGCCATGGGCCCTTTAGGACTGTGCATAAAACAGCCTGCCAGGAAATGGGTTCATGTTCAATAGTAGTGGATAATAGCTACACTTAAGGAAGTGAGTTTTTTTTTGTTGTTGTTGTTGTTGTTTTTAATATAGCCTGGCAATGAGGGGAAATTTTCCACTGTATACCTTTTTATGCCTTAAAAAAAATTTCCTGCTGGGTGCAGTGGCTCACACCTGTAATCTCAACACTTGGGAGGCCAAGGTGGGAGGATTGCTTGAGCTCAGGAGTTTGAGACCAGCCTGAGCAACACAGCGAGACCCATCTCTAGTAATATAAATAAATAAATAAGCAAGCCAGGCATGGTGGCACATGCCTGTAGTCCCAGCTACTTGGGAGTCTGAAGTGGGAGGATCACTTGAGCATAGGAGATTGAGGCTGCAGTGAACTATTATTGTACCACTGCACTCCAGCCAGGAAAACTGAGCGAGACCCTGTCTCAAAAAATAAATAAATTCATTCCTTTATTCATTCATTCATTCATTTCCCCAACCACGTGAAATCACCTATTCAAAAATATTAATGAATGTAGTTTAAAAATATAGTAAAACAAACAAAAGGTAGCTTGTGTCCCACCCCCTAGAAATCTAATTCTACAGGCCCAGGGTAAGGCTGAAACACCTGCATTGTAAGGGCAAGAAGGCTGGGCGCAGTGGCTCACGCCTGTAATCCCAGAACTTTGGGAGGTTGAGATGGGCAGATCACCTGAGGTTGAGAGTTCGAGACCAGCCTGGCCAATATAGTGAAACCCCATCTCTACTAAAAATGCAAAAATTAGCCAGCTGTGATGGTAGGCACCTGCAATCCGAGCTACTTGGGAGACTAAGGCAGAAGAATCACTTGAATCTGGGAGGTAGAGGTTGCAGGGAGCTGAGATCATGCCACTGCACTCCAGCCTGGGCGCGACAGAGCAAGACTCTGTCTCAAAAAAAAGAAAGGGCAAGAAGCTCTTCGGGTGACCATGAGGGACAAAGTAAGAAGAAAGGTGCCTGGCTTCTAAGGGAACATTGTAAGCTGGACAGGGGCAGGCAACTTGGCAGTCGAGAGTGGCACTCTGTAGCTCTTCCATGCAATCACACACAGGGCATGATATTTTTCCGAGCACATAATATTGTGCTCCGAGGTGAATGGAGGAGGTTGCCTGAACTGGAGGAGAAGGCCCTGGGCCCTGGAGGCCTCCCGAGAGCTGGGGAGGTGGCGTCAGGAGGCTGTTCAGAGGCTGTAGTCTGGCATGTGGCCCCCTGTGGCTGGATGAACGCTAAGCCCACATCTGACAGGCTCAGTGTTCTTTTTTTTTTCTTTTTCTTTTTTTTTTTTTTTTGAGATAGGCTCTTGTGCTGTCACCTGGCTGGAGTGCAGTGATGCGATCTCAGCTCACTGCAACCTCCACCTCCCGGATTCAAGTGATTCTTCTGCCTTAGCCTCCTGAGTAGCTGGGATTACAGGTGCCCACCACCACACATAGCTAATTTTTGTTTTTGTTTTTTTTTTTAGTAGAAACAGGGCTTCCTCATGTTGGCCAGGCTAGTTGCGAACTCCTGACCTCAGCTAATCTGCCCAATTCAGCCTCACAAAGTGCTAGGACTACAGGTGTGACCTACCATGCCCGGCCTATGTGTCATATTAATAAATATATGTATTATATGCATTAATGATATTTTCTAGCTTTGCCTTTATTGTGATTTTAATGAAACTGTCTCTAGTGTTTTGCCTTTAGGTGTGATATTGCCTATTGATTTGCCAGTATCTTCTTCAGGTTAATTAATGCTATTCTTTCTCTGGTTTATTAATTATTTTTATGTGGGCTCAGTGCTCCTCCATGCCCAGGGTGCCTGTGGAGTAAAAATGATGCCCAGCTTTCTGCTGGTTAGCTCTGAGACAGTAAAAAATTGGCAAGGATGATCATGGAATGGCAACATGGCCGTTCACAACATGGCCATTCCTTCTGTGTGGCCCCCAGAGCCGCAGAGTTCTCTCTGGATCGTTCCGTTTGTGGTTTTGATCATGTCTGACCAGGTCTGACTGGATTGCCAGGCATGTGAACATGGGGCCGGGGAGAAATATGTCCTGCCCTTCTGTGGAAAGGCCTTGGGGAAGTGTGGTTTTGGTGTCTTCTCCAGCCCCTTGGAGCTAAACATGTTTTTGTATTGCAGGGACGGTGCCCCGTACTGTGAAAAGGACTACCAGGGACTCTTTGGGGTGAAATGTGAGGCGTGTCACCAGTTTATCACAGGGAAAGTCCTGGAGGTAAGTGGCAGACCAGCTCCCTCACAGCCACCGCCACCCTCCTCAGCAGCCCTCAGAAACACCCAACAGGGGGGCCCCTTTTCCACCTCCTCCATCTTTTTTTCACCTGTGGGGAAAGAAAGTAGTCGCACGTGAACGTCTGAAATAATTAAGGTGCTGTGCTCTCCTCAAAGGCTCATGTGAAAATTAGAACGATGGAGAATTTGCAGAGGAAAAAAGAATGAGAAAGGTTCTGGTGGGAATTATGTAGGAGAGGCTATATGAGACCATTTTTGCTTTTAGAGGTTAGGAAAGAGGGAGTGAAGTCGTGTGTGTGTGTGTGTGTTTACATCTGTGTGTGTGCATATGTGTATGTGTGCATCTCCAGGAGTGTGCAGACTCGGGGAGCAGAAAGGAAGGGTGGGGGAAAGGTAGAGGTGTTGGCTTTCCATCCTTCAAAAACCACATCCTGTGTGACCCAGCGTATCCAGTGGCCAGGGCTGAGCTAAAGCCTGTCAAGTTCAGGTACAACCGCCTCCAGCAGGGGAGGTTTCTTTCTGCTTTCTCCACAGCTGCCCCACAGGCTTCTACCTCTGGGCTGAGCCAGTTTTTCTGGGGCAAGACACAGAATTCTGGGGCCAGAGTTCAGAAGGAGTCGCTACCCTACTTCCCCCAGGTCTGTGGCGTGTCAGCCAGGTCCAAGGAAAAAGTAAGACTGCCTCATCCATGGTCCACCTGTCAGGGTGGAGAGCGTGTCCCAGTAGAGGTGGCTCAGGAAGCCGTATGACTAGGGGTTGGCAACAGGCTCTGCGGGTTGGCAACAGGCTCTGCAGCTTGTCACCTTGCTTAGTCAGGCGCTAGGCTGCTGAATCCATGGAGTCATGTTCCAACTTTCCAGCAGGGCATGTTTCAGAGATATAGATACACATCTGAGCCTGCCCCCCCCGACCATGTTGTTTCTGGACTGTGCTGTCTCTTCCATGGGGTTTCACAGCAAAGGTCCAGCATAGCCTCCTAAAGCCCACCGCAACCCCGTTCCATGAAGCACAGAGGGGCCCGCATTGGCTCTGTGCTGGGACCCGGGTGGCTGACTGCATTTGGGAGAGAAGGATGTGGTTTAGGTCAAATGCAGTTGCCTCTTACCCTGAGTGTTGGAAATAGATGCTCGGTGCCACAAAGAAAAATTAGCACCGAGACAGAGGATCTTTTAGCAATGCAATTTTTACTCCCTGGACTGCAGGAAGGGTACTCTCACTAGCCATCTTGCCGCAAGAGTACAACAAACAAAGGAAAGCAGACATTTATCCCTTACGCATTTGGGGTCGTCGTTACTGCCATGTCTGATCTCCATTGGCTGGAGCCAGACCTCACAATCTAAACTAAAACCCGATTGGCTAATAACTTAAAACTTTTCTAAACAGGTAAAAGCAGTGGGGAGCTGGGACATGCCTATGAGCACGTCCAGCTCAGATACCTTGGTTAAAATACAAGAACATAGAATGTACTACGTGCCTGTAAGCATGGCATGTCTAACACCAACATAGGATAGGACTTAACAAAGAGTTATTAGCACACTTAAGATTTATTCTTTAAACAAGAAAGGAAACTTTAAAGAGGAACTTTTGCACTTCCCACACTGAGGAAGAGGGTTCTAGGAAGAGAACCCCTGCAGAGGCTCAGAGGTGAGGACAAGCACAGCACACACACGAAACGTCAGTTGGGCAGGAGCACGGATGTGACAGATGATGCTGGAGAAGTGGGCAGGGTCCCAAGAGTCACATTCGGGAGTTTGGGTTTTACCCTAAAAGTGCTGGGAAGCCATTGAACCACTTGTAGCTGGAGTGTTGGACGAGTCGATCAGGTTGTATGAAGAACGTAGGAGAGTACCCAAATCTATTACACACATGTTCGCAGCAGCGCTATTCACATCAGCCAAAACGTAGAAACGACCCAGTGTCCATCAGCAGGTGAATGTGTAACAACTCGTGGTGTATCCGTCCAGTGGAGTATTATCCAGCCTGGAAGCAGGGCTGCCTACCACAGGATGGCCTTTAAAACACTCGAAGTAAAAGAAACCAGCCACAAAAGGCCACATATTGTATGATGCCATTTATATAAAATATCTAGAATGGGTACATCCATATAGATAGAAAGCAGATTGGTAGTTGCCACGGGCTGGGGGGAGGGACTTACTGCTTTACAGATACAGGATTTCCTTTTGGGCTGAAGAAGATATTTTGGAATTAGAGGAGGTGTTTGCACAGCATTGTGAATGAATGTACCAAGTGCCGCTGAATTGCTCACTTTAAAGTGGTTCGTTTTATAGTACGTGCATGTCAGCTCAGAGGTTTTTTAAGTGGCTGGGAAGGGAGTTGGGGTGGAGACAGGGAGGCCAGCTAGGAGGCGACTGCAGAACTCTGGGCACAAAACGGTGGTGGTACTGGCTGGAGTGGAGCCTGAGAAATGGGCCCCCACCCTCCACACACACAGGAAGGGTGGAAAGAGTTCTCTCATAGCCTTTGCAATAAAGCTTTAATTAGTGACCCAAGGACACTTCAAACTAGTGTCTTGGCTCAGGGAGAAAGAAGCACATCCCTAGGAAGGCTGTTGGAGAGGATGGACGGACGGGACCCACCTGAAGGGAGCTTGGAGTCTGAGCCGTCGGATCACCGCGCTCGGACTGCCATGCAGCTGGTGCCTCCTCACCGGGCCCGAGTCCATCCGTCATCCCTCCCCAGAGAGTTCTCCTCACAAGTGCCGTGAATGGGGCCCGACAGCGTTTCCCTTGGGTTCCTGAGTTTGATCTCCTGTGGAAGACTGAAATAAACCTGTTGAGTTGGGAGCAACTGGCAAATTTCCTTCTCCTTTTTCTTTTTCTTCTTCTTCTTCTTCCTTCTTTTTCTTTCTTCAACTAACTTCCTTCCTTCCTTCCTTCCTTCCTTCCTTCTTTTCCTCCCTCCCACTTTCTCCCTCTTTCTCTCTCATTCTTTCCTTTTCTTTTTTTTTCTTTTCTTTTCTTCTCTCTCTCCTTCTCTCCCTCCCTCTCTCCCTCCCATCCTTCCACCCTTCTTCCCTCCCTCCCACCCTTCCTCCCTCCCTTCCTCACTTCTTCTTGGTTTTGCTCTGTTGGCCAGGCCAGAGTGCAGTGGTACAATCATAGCTCACTGCAACTTTGAACTCCTGGGCTCAAGTGATCCTCCTGCCACAGCCTCCTGAGTAGCTGGGACTACAGGTGCATGCCACCACACCCATCTAATTTTTTTAATTTTTTTGTAAAGATGGGGATCTCACTCTGTTGCCCAGGCTGGTCTGTAGCTCTTGGCCTCAGAAAATCCTCCCGCCTCAGCCTCCCAAAGTGCTCAGATTACAGACATGAGCAACCAAGCCTGGCCCTCATAAAAAAAAAATCAATGGAACATTAGAATGATTTCCCAGATGTCCAGCTGTACAAAAGAGGCAAAAACATACTGAACGTGGTCCCCACATTTGTGACAGTCATGTTTGCAGTCTTCTTAGTCCACACGTGGAGCTGTGTTCCCCCAAACATGTTGGGGAGGGAAAAGGGCTGTGTGTGTGTGTGTGTGTATTGATTGCCTTCAGATTTAGCTCAACAGCTGCAGGAAAGAAAATCTAAAATAAAGCTAGATCCAAGAACATGCCATTAGAAAGAAACATCTGCTTACTCTGTTTTCTCCTTCAAGGCCTGAGTCATTCGGCTTTCACTATGGCTGCAGAGGCCTCTTCGCAAATTGGCTTCAGGTTTCCGTGGAGGCTTAAGACTTGGAGACTTTCCACGAGGGGCTTTCAGAGTTGAGACGTCTGGGAGTAGTTTACATCATGTTCAGCCTCAGATTCAGAATCCACCCAGCAGATGTAGTCCTCAGATGGGTGTGTGAGCTAGAAAAATGTCCTGCAGGGTTATCACACTGATGTGTGACAGCCTGTGAGTCGGTTTGGCTTGGTTACCAACACAGAGCTGGACGGTCGCCACACGCTCCGCCCTTGGCCTCTCATGCTTGGGTCGTGGTGGTGGTGGTGAAATATTATGCTGGTGGATTTGTTGTAAATAGTGTGAACCTTGGATTTTTGTGGTTTTTTAATATTTGTTATCCACAGATGAATTTATTTTATCCCTTTACAAATGTATTCGTTTTCTGTGTCAGCTGTAATGGCAGTGGCTTAAAGCAACAATGTATTCTCTCTCAGTGCAAACAGAAATATCTTCTCTCTCAGTTCTTGAGGTTAGACATCTGAAAGCAAGGTGCGGGTAGGGTCATGCTGTCTCTCAGGCTCTAGGGAAGGGTCTTTCCTCGCCTCTCCCAGCTCCTGATGGCTCTGGGTGTTCCTTGGCTTGTGGCAGCCTCCCGCCAATCTCTGGCTTTGTCTTCACATGGCTGCCTTCCCTGTGTTGTCTCTTTTTCTCTCAGAGTTCCCTCTGCCTTTTTCCTGTAAGGGCACTTTTCATTGCATTCGGGACCACCCAGATAATCCAAGACGATCTCCCCATCTCAAGATCCTTAGCTCAATCACATCTACAAAGACCCTTCTCCCAAATAAGCTAGCATTCACAGGTTCCAGGGATTTGATATGGAGTCCCTTTTGGTCACGATCAGGTCACCATTTAGCCCGCTCCGGTAAGCCTAGGAAATCATGCAAATATCATCCTAGTTAGGTCTGCAGACTTGGTGTGGTTTTAAAACACTCACTGATCCCTAAGAGGACCCTAAGGCCTCTCTGGGTATGGTGTCACCAGAGATGCCACCAGACACTTATGGCACTTTTGAGATAGAGAAAGATCGCTGGACAATGGTGGAGAAGAGATACTCCAGGCCTGGCCGTGTCCCTAATTCCTGAGTGATTTGGGGCAGGTCGTTCAGCTTCTTGGGTCTGTCTTCATTTCCCAGGTACAGGGACTGGTGTGTGACCTCCAGAGCTCCAGCAGCCCTTGAGTTCCCCCTGCCTCTGTCATTCCTTAGTCCTTGTAAGCCCTGAAAATCACATCAGCTTGAAGGGGTGGGGAG